AAACAAGATGTGAAAACTATAATCACAGTTAATAGAAATATTGTCACACATTTTAATCATTCTGCTGTAGCTGTAATCAAATTGGAAGATTTGCAAGAAAAGTTAGGTTTGCAGAAACACAAATTAATTCAAGATGTTCCTACTCGCTGGAATTCTACATACTACATGTTGGAACAGCAAAAGGCCCTTGTCACATATGCTATAGATAATAAAATTCCTACGTTGAGCCCATATCAGTGGTCTCTCGTTGAAAAAATTGTTCTACTTGTAAAACCATTCAAAGAAATTACTGTGGAAAGCCAGCAAACGAGAAGCCACTTCATCTTCAATAATTCCCACAATAGAGACTCTGAAATTATTCTTATCAAAAGCAAAGATCAGTAGTTCCTTTAGTGGCATTAATACCACAACAGAAGAACTAGAAAATCCAATAAAAAAAGATTTTCAGCATATATAGAAAACAAGTCTTTATGCTTGTCATTTTTATTAGATTCAAAATGAAATTTCAAAAAGAGGATATGCTAGAGGAAATCTCAATAAGAATTAAATTCTGAAGCTTCTACTTCTGGAGGTGATCAAGATGGAGGTGAATTTCTAAGTTTTTCTGATTTATTTGATGAATTAGCTTCTGGTAAACGAAAGAATGAAGAATAGCATGTTTTTAAAAAAAAAAAAAAAAAACGAAAGAGACGAACAAACGTTTCGATCAAGAATTAGAAACATATTTACATTTATCCCTAATTTGAGCAAAATAGCTATGAAATATTTAAGTGCCTCAGCATCTTCCATTGAAAGTGAAAAAATTTTCAGCACTGGAGGTAACATTTATGAGCCGGCAAAAAATAGGTTATGCCCTGAAAATGATGAAATTCTCATGTTTTTGCATTACAATTTAAGGGTTTTACAGTTTAAATATTAAATTTTTATTTGTTTTATATGTTTAAACTTTAAACTTATGAAACAAATAAAAATTTAATTTTTCTTCTTAACCTATTCAATACTTTTTCTTATGTAAAGTTTAAACTTTATATTATACGTTATATTATACTTATAATATGTATCGATAAAAGGAATAATTTGATTAGTAAAATTTTTTTAATATTCAGTTTGTCATGTAATAAATAATAAATATATAACAGAAATTTATTAGTTTTTATTACTAGCATTGTACGTAACATTCTAACAAAAATACCAAAATGTAAAATTGGCCGATTATCAAAACCGATTAATCGGGGAAATGGCCGATACCGATTAATCGGCTAAGTGGCCGATACGACCGATTACCGATTACTTACCGATTAATCGGTGCATCCTTACTGTATTTTATTAAATAATTATAGCATCAATAAACTGTACATAAAGGAATTAAATACAAAGAAATTGTAAAAGTTGTTGCTTAAAATAGCTAAATACATAATAAACAAATACATTAGAATATTCTAGTTTTGAATACAAATTTAAACATAAAATAATATAAAAATATAAATAAAAAGTTTGTTATTATAAAAATATCATCTAACCCTATTACATATACCATATAAGTAGATTAATTTGAAAATATAATATAATGTAACTTGGCACAAATTGAAATTCATATAGATTTACTATGTAAGAAGTTTCATTGTCTTCTGATTTTAAGTTATTGAATGAGCTGCAATAAATAAATAAGACATCTTCAATAACAGCCAACTGATTGCCTTATATATATCAGGCTTTGGGTTGTTTAATATACTTATATCTTCAATAACATCTGTGATCTTATTTTTCATGACAAAGAATGATGTAACTGGTATCTAGAATAAAAAGTTTAATGAGATTTATTAGATTGAATGGATAGATGTAGATTTGAAACATTTTGGGAAACATCTGATATTATGTGAAAAAGTTCAAATGAAGGAGTATTTTAATATGGAGCCATTTCTCATTATAACCAAAGTTCTTGGAGTTCTCTATTTGAGGAATTTTAAATATTAATACATAAAGTTGAACATTCAATACAATTCTTTTATTATCAATGATAAGGCAGTTGTTTACTATAGATATTGTTTTTTTGACCATGATAAAGTAGACAATACACATGCTGTTATGCATTGGTATATAAATATACAAGGTGTCAGGAAAGTTACTGTGTAGTGAGAAATTTGTAATGACATTAAAGTTAAGGTCTTGCATGCAATGCAATATGTATAAGTACATCCAAAATTTCCACTTTGCAGTAGACGGTGTTACTGCTTGCTTGCAGATGTTATGGTTTTTTATTATAGTTTGTGGAAGACTTCTGGTCTACTATGAAATCAGCAAAGATTTCCTGGGAGATTAAGTCTCCAGATCTTGCTCTCCCAGATTTTTGGGTCTTTGGGGGATATTTCCAGTATATACCATAGGAGAAACTGCAATATTGTATGTAAAACTTCACTTTTAATAAATCTTTACTTAAACCTTTTACATTGCACAGTTTTTTGGACATCCTGTATAAGGTTGGAATGATTGACACGATTCTATAATTCATGATTTGAACATTTATGGAATAAAATAAAATGTCAAGTAAATTCCAAATCAACATACTTATGACAATAAACAAAAATAAATACATAAATGGAACAAACAATAATTTGTTACTGTTCCATAGAAAAAGTGAAGCTGTATTAGCTTAATCTATTACTCATTGAGAGAGAAATCTTCCAGAAGCAAGCAATGGTAAACAAATGAAAGATATGTTGTTAATAATTCTACAGACAAAATGCAATGATTATATTGAAATTGTAAAAAATTTGAAATGCAAAAATATTTATTTACATTTATTTATATATTTATATATATGTTAATAATAATAAATACACACATACTGCCAACTTGTTTAGTCCATTGAGAGATTTAATCATAGCAATGTCAAATCTATTTTCATAATTGGGAGATAATACAATAAAATAGTGTTAAGTTTAATATTAGTGGTTTAAAATAATCTGTTGATTTTAAAGGTGTAATTATTTTATTATTCTGTAATTATTATGTTATTAATATATGTGATATAATTTATGAAATATGTCTTTTTTTTTTTTTTTCATTCTAGCTATTTGATAAACTAGGATGGAATCACTGTAAAATACATTTTGAACGATCATTACTAGTCAGGTATCCTCTAAATTATCATCTATTTTAAACGTTATTAATTTAAACATAGATTTATTTTACAATTCATACCTCAGAAATGTTGCAAAAAGTTATTGTATATCAAATTATATTAAGTATAGAAGTTACATGTTTGGATATTTTTTAATCTGTTTTTATATGCTTTAATAAAATTATAAATTTTATTGATCAACATGAATTATGCCAATTTTAATCAAACAAATTTTTGTTTTTACAAAATCTAAAGTAGAAATTCAGTTTAACAAATAACAATTTTGCCTAAGTAATTGAAAATATAAAATTTAAAAGATAATTAATTAAACAAATGCAAAAATTAAATAATCAATTTAAAATAATCTTTGAAATATTAGAATAAATCTGAATTTTGAATACTGGACTGTCCATGACAAATATCAAAACTGGTTGTTAGCGTTTGTAAATTTTTATGAAATAAATAAAGATTTGTTGCTTATATCTGAATTTTTGTTTTCAGAAATATTTGAACACTTCATGAATAAATTTTACAAGATAAATTTGCTAATTTAAAAAAAAAATTTATCAGAATCTCTATTAAAAAAGATACATAAACTTTTTTAGATTTCTGTTGCAGAAGAGAACCAACAGAAAAACATGTTCTGTATTCATCATAGATTAAGAATGTCCATGTCTACACCTTTGTCTATTCTTAATTTTAGTGTTATATTTCCTATTATAATATAATAGAATTTTTCTAACTAGCCAATCAGCAGTAGACACAGTTGGATTTATTAGTAAAATACATCCTAAGCAAAAAGACAGATCTCTGTGTAAGCACCTTGTGATTCATCTTGCTTATGACTTGTTCAACTGATAAATGCAGCTGTTTCTATTGCTAATTGCCAATTATTCATAAGCATAGAAATTTCAGTGATAAGCAACACAAGAATGTAGAAAGCGTGCAAGATGACAGATATGATAATTATGGAACTGAACCACAGATTATTTTCAAACAACCCTGCCAATATGATATGTTAATGCATTGAAAAACTTTTCTGCTAATTATGATCCTAAGGTGCATAAGCTTTCATCTGAGTGCCAAATAGACACTAATCAATCTCCTACAATAAAAAGCTAACCAACATAGAAATTTTAGTGTCATAAAATTGATTTGATTTGATTACAGTTTTTATTAAGAACTCAACAGGGAATACAGTATTAAGTTCTTAGAATTGAAGTGACTAATTGCAGAAACTCTAAATAAGCTTCTCATTGAGCTTACTTCCTTGTGTGTTCATTGAGATCAAGACAATTAACCATAGATACTAGAAATGCAGTGTGTTTATTTGGTAAAGGTCAATTGTAATGAAGTTACACATTTTTGTGTCCATTAAGATATTTCACTTTAACACTGACACCTATACTTATTCCAGCTGGTATGTTTCTTGAAAAAGATGAATGTTTTTGATAACTTTCATCTTCATACCTGCTGGAATAAGTACAGAAGGTGTCAGTTGTTATAACAATGTTAAAAGCTGGAAAATAGTGTATATACAGCAATTATGTCTACACAGTAATGTATGTAATCAAGACATGAATACCACACAAGATTATTAATGTGATGTCAGACATGAGATGTCAAATCTCAATGCGATAATTGTTTTAACCTGAGATGCTAGTGAAATACAATTTAAACGAATATTTTGCATCATCACGAAATATTTTAACAATTGGTTTAATATATGTAAGCACAAGTAAAATTGAGAGCAGTACTACTATTTTTTTGTTTCCTCTTGCTTTGATCACAAGTAGATTAGACTGAAGTAATTGGAAGAAATCTGTTGGCATTTCAGATACTTCAATATATTAAAAATTAATTTATCTATACCAAATGATTAATATTTAAACAATTCTTTTATTCAATAAATAATACAACAAAGGAGGAAGTGTCTCCTTTGAACTATAACATGTCTAAATAAGTTAAACTCAAATACAGGTCATATGTTGGTTTCAGTTTGACAAAATATTAGAAGGAAGAGCATCATCCAATAAATGAACAAACAAAAATCAATCAAAATATAATTTTCTTTTATTGAAAGTAATATATTGATTTAATACAAACTAACAAAATACAATTAAAATATAATATAAAATAAAAATTAATATATTTGAACAAAACAATTTATTCAGAATCAACACTTTGCATCACATTTTATAAAGTATCTTCAAATTTTAGCAAAATTTTTTCAAACATTTGGAAGACAATTCTCAGACATGTAATTACATTTTGTACAGCATCATTACGTGAATACAAAATAAAAAATATTAAAAACAACACGATTCACAGTTTTGTTATAATACAGGCAATTACTTGTTGCCAAAACAGTTCAGACATTGTCCTTTCTAATTGAAAATAAACTTCACAAATCATCTGTCGTAGTCATTTGATTTTTATTAAAAATCTTCTTGTTATTCATCAGTTCATTACGAAAATATTCTATTGTTGTCTTTAATCCTTCTTGAAGTGAAACCTGCAAGAATAATTATGCATGAATCAAACTCAATTTTTTCATTTATCATCATCAGATGATTTATAAATTAAATTTGTAATACTAATGTATTACAAATTATTTTGTTTGTAATCAGTAGCAAAATCTTAGATTTAATTAAAACAATTCAGTATACTATAAAAAACTAACTAAAATATTAGAACCCATTTCAAAGTTATCGCTACACTGTTAATAGCGAGGTTGAGGCCGAAGTTTTACACGCAAAAACGTGTATGTCAGACATTCAGCGCTGCTTTCCCATAAGGCTAGAAGTTTGACAATGGTGTTTGGAATGTCGAGCATGATTCCATTGACTATCCATACACCATTGTCAAACTTCTAGGCTTATGGGAAAGCAGCGCAGAATGTCTGACATACACGTTTTTGTGTGTAAAACTTCAGCCTCAACCTCGCTATTAAGTAAGCAAGGATGCTTAGCAAGTGGTGGTGGTAGTAGTAAAGATAATTAAATTAAAATTTTAATACAAATTGCATTTTAGATGTAACTATCAAATTTATTTCTAAATCAGAAAGAATGTTTTAAATATTCAATTCAAAATATTATAGCTTCCAGCACAAAATTTAAGTGAATCTTAAAAATGTCACTAGAATTCTGTGTTTATAAAGATAATTGGGTGACAATTTATTTCTTGTCAAAACTTTCATTGTTGAACTTGGCCTGTGGCACATCAATTTCATGAAATCAGAAGACAGAAAAATTAACATACTGAAGTGGACAGTAAGGGTCTACCATATCTTGTGATAAATATTATCCTAACAGTGCCACAAATTGGGTGTATAATGTTTTCATAACATATTAAAATATCCAAAGCAAAAGCTTTACTCAGTATTAAGTCTGATTCTACTGGAGATACACACATTTAAAATCACAATAAAATGCTCAAAATTTTACAATAATATTTTTCATTTTATTTCTATGTGAAGAGAGAACAAAAAATGTACATCTTAACCTCCAAGCAATTACGGCTTGTAAGCTTTTACAATGAGCCATTGGCAGACTAGAGTGAAGATTTGCACAAATGTGACATACATCCCAACTGTTGCCATGTTTACTGACACTAGTGATAAAGCATATGAGTACTGAACAGTGTCCAGCAATGTGTTGCTTATTATTTCTAACTTTCTTGGCAACATTTGGTGGCACCATATGTTAGCTTTTTATATTTTTAATAAACTGTCCTTAATTTTGAGAGCAGGGATGGGTTTTATAAAGAATCGTAAATGCTAATGACAATTTTACTCAGTATTAAGTCTGATCCTACTGGAGATACACACTAGACTAGATCAGGGTGGCCAACAGTTTTTGCCCCCAGGAAAAACTGTAGGCTGCCCTAGGAAGATTTTGAGGTGGTGCGAGATCTCCTTGTGGTGTCACCCTATACAGACTAAATTGTACAGAGATTACAGATACATTTTTCACATCATCATGCGTTATCAATATTCTACACTGTACTTAAGAGATTTGTAATTGCGGGTTAACTCTAAATGCACAGTGAGTTGACCTTTTTTTTTAGGTGTCAGAATTTTTCATCTAGCTATTCGGACTTCAGTAGCTAATATTGAAAGATTAATCGCTGGCCACATAAATTCATTAGATGGTCAGTATGTTGGCCATGCCTGCACTAGACCCTTTATCTCTCCACCCCCTCAACCTTTAATACTATTTTTGGTGATTAATCTCACTAATAAACAAATCTTCCTGCAAACTTTCAGAAATTTTCAACAAAAAGCACAGGAGTTTGTTCATCTTTGAAGCTTAATAAATCATGTCCCTCCACAGAAATTACTCCTGAATTTTTTTGCATTTCAAGGTCCTGAGTCCAAAATGTAAAAATCCTGGGGATCATTTTTTGGCCAATGACATACTTTCCCTGTTATATATAACAGCTGGAAAAGTAAAAATGAAATTTTCAAACTGCATGCTAATAGCCATTTATCAAGAATCTACATAAAATTTTATTCATGGTTTCTCAAACTCCTACACCAAATTTTTTTTTATCAGTGGTCATATTGACCACTGTGACTGTTCTAGTGATCAGGGGTTACTCTGAAAGTTTTGCAATACAAGAAAAAATTTTAATTCATCTTAGATTATGCATAAACAATCTTCCTTAATGTATCATATGAAATTTATTCTTAAAAATAACAATCCAATTTCATCAAAATGAGAGAGATCCTTTTCTAATAATGGAACTTCGGACAGAAGCATGTCGTACAATGATTTACTATGATTTTTGTGTTGGACTGAATAACAAAGACTGTTGTGAATGATTGAAATTGGCTTTTGGAGATGATGCTCCATCCTTTACTATTGTGTTTAGCTCGTACAAAAAATTTCAGTGTCCTTGTACTTTTTTCCACAATGAACCACAGTGAAGGGCAAGCAACCATGAACAGCAGTGATTCTTGAAAATGTAATTACTGTCCAATTTATGATTGCAGAAGACAAAGATGTACAGTACAGTACCTATGAAATGATACAAGAGAGATTACAGAATTGGAGCCTCTGCGGTTGCAAAAGTCAGAGCAAGTCAAAATCTCTAAGGAAACTCTGGAGATGTTGAATCAAGGTGAACACCATATTATTTCCAAGATTTTCACAGGTATATATACATACCATTTTATGACATTCGAACACTTGAAGAAAGCTGGAACCATAAAGATGATCCAATTCCAACAACTGTGAAAAAGCAGACAGCAATAAAAAAAAAGTCATGTTTGCTGTTTTGTTCCATAGTGCTGGTCTAGTGAAAGCAATTACACTAGAACAGAAGACAATAACAACTAATTAGTACACTACAGTTTGTCTTCCTAGAATTCTGCAGTCATTGAAAATTTGAGGGCTACTTTTGCATCATGATAAACAGTCTGCTTAGCAGTATGTGATGAAGCATTATTTCCTTCAAGCTAATGATATTAGAATCATTGAACATCCACTATATTCACCAATTTGGCAATGTATGACTTCTAGCTATGTTTAAATCTCAAACGTTTGAGGGGTTGCAAATTTAACACAGATGATGAAATCATCTGTGTTAAGTTTGCAACAGAGTATTTTGATAGCATTCCAGAAAATGAGTGGCATCATGCTTTTGTTCTATGGAAGGAGCAACTACATAACTGCATTTTGGCCAGAGGAGAGTACTTTGAACATTAAAAAATACTTTGTTTCAGGACTCATTTTAGTATTCCTGTATTGCAAAACTTTCAGAGTCACCCTTGTATGTAATAACATAATGGAAAAATCAAATATCAAACTGACTTGAGGATGTAATATTCTGATGATATATCATCAAAATTTATACACAATTCTGGGTTGTAACATTAAAAAAGTTACAGGTAACTAAGTCTGATTTTTTTTTTTTAATCAAATACCAAACAGATTTTATAAAAATAAACATTACTTTAGGAACCCAATGCAATTCATGTTTAGCACGACTAATATCTGGTTTTCGTCGCTGAGGATCATCAGTTACTCCATCTTGATACTTTATAGGACTTGAACCACCTATGAAAATAAAAATATACAAACATGTAAAATAAGTATACTCCTAAAATGATTAAGAAAATTATGACTTAAAATTCCTCACCAACAATATTTTTAATAAAAATTGCAAATTCTTCAATAGTATATTCTTCTGGATTACCCAAATTCAAAGGCTGAGTATAATTACTATTCATTAGAGAGATGAGACCGTCTACCAAATCACTTACATATTGAAATGACCGAGTCTGTTTTCCCGACCCGTAAATCTAATCACAAATATTCAAATGATGAGTAAAAGAATATTAAGTTTAAAAATAATTAAAATCATACACACAGTTATGGATTGATTTTGTAGTGCCTGCAGAATGAAATTGCTTACTACTCTTCCGTCTATAATGTGCATTCTTGGACCGTAAGTATTAAAAATTCTTGCAACACGAACATCAACATTTTCCTAAGTAAATGTTAATTCAATACATTTATCAATCATAATAATAATAAAAGCTAACAGAAAAAAAAACAACACTATGTGAATTACACACAGTATATTTCTTTAGCATACATTCTTTTCTCAATTATTTATTGCAGTTTTTTATTTAATTCAAAAATTTTTAAAAATCTTAAACTTAATTGAAATAATTTTGGGATAATAAATATAAGTTATAACTAGTCTTTCAATTTTGTCAGCCAAATATCAATATTATGAATCATTTTTAGTGATATATCTCAATATACATTTTTTTCAACTATATATACAAAACAAATTGTTTTAATTTTTTTTATCATTAAATACTTGTATACATCTATTCACTTCAACAAATTTCTACACTTTATTGGACTGCAATTTGAAAAAAAAATTTAGACCTATAAATTTCCACTGTCGTCTTTCCTTAATTAAGTAAGTAATCTCAAGAACGGAGTTAGATAGATGAAAGACGAGACCAGATATGGAAATCTTAGGAGCAGGAGTCCCGATTAACTACATATGACTTCTGGTTTGCATCAGAAGTTCATGTTATTTCAATTCAAAACTTTTCCCCTGAAAAGGTGTTAGATATGACAGTATAACTCTGTTGTTAAAGGAAAAGTATGATATATAGGGGAAAGTCACTACTAATTTGAGTTGGAGAATATATTTTAAATTAATTAAATTAAAAATGTGATAAAAAAATTGCAGCCCAGCATTGTAATCATGTCACAATAAATAATTGCTCGTTGTTTTTAAATCTTACATTGTTAGTTACTTTTTCATTTGCGTAATATTTCAGATATTTCATTAAACTACAAAATTAGTATTATTTTTTTGATAATCAAAATATATTTTATATATATATTAATACCATATTCTAAAAAGTTTTAGTTTAGTTTCAAAGTTAAATTTATTATCAATTTATCAATTTAATTAGATGATTACATCAACTAATTATGACTTATTGTCAATCTGATCAAGGTGTCTAAAGCAGAGTATGATGGTACCGGCCAGAATTTTCCAACTTGACAGATGTTCATTTTATAGAGGGTATATTTTTTTCATGCAGAAAAAAGAGTTACATCTCATATAAAATGAAAGCAAAGCAGTTCTAAATTACACTTTTGTTGAAACAGATGAATATAGTACTTAATTTTGGTTAGTTCTAAAAATTTTGCAAGATTGCTTCATTATTGTTTAGCAAATATGAAGAGAGAATAAGTGTGTAAAATGTTTTTAGTAATTGATAATTTTTATTTATGAAATTATATACACTGCTCACAAAAATTAGGGGACATTTCAAAATGAATAGGAAGCAATTAAAAAAATAACATTTGATTTTCTTTTCACTAAGCAAGAACATCAGGAAAGGAAGTCAAAGAAAGTTGTTTGATTATGCAAATGAGATGAATCTCATTTGCATAATCAAACAACTTTCAAACTCAATTATCATGATTGACTAGCAAGTGACATATTGGTGGGGATGAACAGAAGCATGTCAAACTTGATGAGTGCCACATGTTGACTATTCAGTAAGGTTATTGTCATTCAGAACACACTGACAGCAATGGGGCATGGACAGTCAGTTTTTGTGGGATTCCCCTGCCACTCTTGCTCCAGGACAACTTCCAGCTCAAGAAATGTTGTGGGAGGCATGGACACTTTGCTAGACATCTTCCCAGTGCATTCCAAGTACGTTCAATGGGATTCAGGTCTGGAGAATGTGAAGGCCAGTCCATGCATTTGATTCCTGCCTCCTGAAGCATGATGTTGATGAGATGCGCAGTGGAGCCTTGTGTTATTTTACATGAAAAGAAAATTGTTTCCAACTGCTCCAGCATAGGGTACCAATATAGGGTGCAGGCTACCCTCATCTCAACATCTGACAGCAGTTAGCAATCTGTTTCTGATGACATGGAGGTCAGTATAATCACCAATGCTGATGCCAGCCCACACCATGATTCCACCACCACTGAAGGAGTCCCTTTCTCATATGAAACATGGATTTTCCTGTGTTCTTCATTCATGCCAGATGAGGACACGATGATTGTCAGGCTGCAGACTGAATCATGACTCATCAGAGAAGAGGACAGTTGACACTCATCATGGGTGGTCCAATGACTATGCTAATTGGCCCATCTTCTATGGGTTCTATGTTCAGCAGATAACGGAATGCATACCATTGGTCGGCAAGTATGCAATCCAACATGATGGGGCCGATTTCCAAGAAACTGTCCCTGCAGCTCTGTTGCATTGCTGCATCTGTTCCTTCTTGCCAAAAAGGTCAAGTAGCAGTCTTCTCTTGCTGTTGTGGCAGATGGGTGACTCTACCCTCATCTTCTTTGTACTGTGCCAGTCTCTTGAAAGCAATTCCAGTCTGTTAACATGCTTTGGAATGTTCCAGTATTGTTGCCACTGTCATCTGTGTTTGACCAGCTTCAAGACATCCTATGGCTCTCTAGCCTTTGCATTCGGGCAAATCATGTTGCAGGGCATTGTAAGGGCTGAGAAATTGCAGATATGCCAGTACTTTGAGCCTTTTTGTATAGTGCATTTTCACCAATGCAATAAAAGTTGGTTTTGCTTCTCATTTGCATAATCGAACAACTTTCTTTGACTTGTCATTTGCTTTTCTGATGTTCTTGTTTAATAAAAAAACAAAAAAAAATCAAATGCTTTTTTTTAATCACTTCATATTCATTTTGAAATGTCCCCTAATTTTTGTGAGCCATGTAGAAATACTAAAATTAATTTGTAACTACGATTTAGATTTCTATCACCACAATTTTCTGGGGAAGCCAAAAATAAGAAATAATTATTGACCTTCTCTATTATAACTTAGCTAATTTTTGATATTTGAAATATCAAATAGTTAAAATAATAATCCAGGATATTGAAGTTCATGAAAATCATGAACATAGACTGTCCAAAATGGTGTCTTCACTGGTACAAAATGATACTTTTTCACCTCCTGGAATTCATCTAAAACACACTGAGATCCAAAGTTTTATTTGAGGCTGAGACCTTTGGATAGTCTATGTTCATGATCAAATAGATATTGTGAGATAGCCAGGGACGTAAACACTGTTACGCCTCTTACGGGCACGCGATCGTGAGATCGGTTCTCTTACTTTTTATAGGAGAGCGTTAATCGCTAGCAGATCTGAACTGTGAAGTCCAGATGCTAGTCAGGTTCCCGACACCAGTTTGTCAATTGAATTCTGCGGACAAACACGCATGTGAGATCTGACTCGGATTCAAATTAAGAGACATTTTAATTATAAACTAAATAACAATAAATTTAATAAAACATAAGAAAATATAAAGTAATACAAAATATCAAATGAAAGAATGATACAAATCGAGAGATATATGGACTTATGCTATACCCGATNATTCCAAGTCTTCTGTAGAAAGGTTGACTCTTCCTTGTAAAAAGTCAACCTTTCTTTTCTTTGAAAGGAGAGAAGGCCTCACAGATATTGTAAATCTGAAACCTAAACAACACTGGCCTCTATCTAAGATAATATACAGACACCATGAAGCTTTCCTGGATTCAGGAGGAGCATTATGATAACCATCCTAATGATTTCAATAAATAATCACATAGACAGGAGTTTGATCCAGAGAGACCAACAGAGGTCTCTTTGGAAATATAGAAGGGTTTATAATTGTCTTATGAGAACAGGTTATAAATACAAAAAAAACTATAGAAAGCATATTTTAAAAAATCAATACTTCCAGATGACTCTTAGAAAATGCCACAATGTGATAAGACCATACAACACAACAAACTGCATTGCAAGCTTTTCATATGAAACAGACTAATTATATTGACATAGCAAAAAAGCAAATGAAATATATCAAAAGCATGCATACAAACTCTATTGCACTATAAATACACCTCATACAGTAATAATAAATACAATATACACAAAATATACTAAGATTATGCCATAATTTTAGTATATGAAAGAACAATTCATCACATTCACAGACAAACTTAATGAATTTTATAACTCATATCAAAAATTTTAATGCATATTAATTTAATGAATTTTATAAATTTTTGAGTTCAAAATTCTAAATTAACTTCTTATTTTGAGAATATGCATAAAATCCAGGAAACATTTAATGTTTATTTTATTATTTTAATGAGGCATCATTATAATAAAAATAAATAATAATGGGAATATTTACATTGATTATTTAAAATTTATTTTAAAAGCTAGTATATAATTAGATCAATAAACATTTTACTTACTATAGAATTGGCTAAAAAGTTTTGACTTTCTGAAAAATTAATCAGAAAGTCAAATGCTTCTAATTATACTGAAATAATGATTTTCTGAACCAATGCATAACAGTGAAAATTATATACACACAATTTTATATGCATTTCTCAAATATATTAGTGGGAAGTGAAATCATCTATTAGAAATGCAAATTAACTGATGAGTGTACTAAAATAAAACAGTCTTACATTAATAATGCAGTTTATTTTTGCATGCTTACCATGATTACTTATATAACAAACTCTTTCAGATATGCAAATTACACAACTGATACAAAAATTAATTTTCACAAACATTATCAGTAATGTATTAATTTTTCTGATGGTTCTAGAACATTATATCAGAATATTTAAATAAACTTATTTTATGTAAAATTTTTCATTTTTTAACTTATTAAAATTAATAATTTTATAAATCACTTTTATTAAAAAGAAAGTATTGCACATTTTGAGTTTTTATTTATTTTTCTGGTTCCATAACACACTTATTTACCATGTTAATGATATTCTATAGTACTCTGAACATTTCTGATATGTCTGAAAGCACTATAACTTTTTTACCTTCTACTACACTAAAAAGAATTTTAAGCAAATTTTTTTCCTGTTTATTTAACCAATAATAATTTCTGATTATTAAGTGTTAACAAAATGAATGTGAAAATATTAGAATGCTGCTGCATATAGGAATTAG